ATCACGCAATTCTGCAAGGCCACAGACAGCAAAATTCCTTGCAATTAGGGCTGAAACAATTAGTCAACACTATCAACAATGTCGACAAAAAATATTTGTATTGCTAAATAGTGATTTGATCTCATATGACCTAATGTAAGGGCCTGCAATAACACTGTTTGACCAGTGTGGCGCTGTAGCGCAAGACTGTAATTCAGCTCTCCTGATGCAATTCAAGAGGAGAAGACACAACGCTTCAGTTCAGAGCAAACGCAGCCAAACCTGAAGCTGTTGAGCGGCGTTTGGATGAATATGTAAATATATACTGCGTGCTTTCCTCTCAATAACAAAATAAACACAAAAACTGACCGCAGTGTGAAAGCAGCAGTTAAGTACTTTATGCAATAGAATAGATAGCCTTAAATCAAGCAGCTTTACAGTATTAAACATGAAAAACCAGAGTCAGTGTCGCTTTCAGTTAGAATTACAACCTGATTTTCTGTTATAAAGCAGCTCTCCAGTGTGGAGCTAACTTAATGATCAAATCTTTTTATTAGTTGGAAAAAAAATATTTCATTAAAGTTATAGTTTGGTTTGCAGAGATCAAAGCTTGATCTAGCTCTAAACATTCTTCGAAACATTTGGGATAATGTAAGTACACAAGTCAGCAAAATATATAACACTATTCTAGTGGTTTTTAGATATTTTAATAAAAACATCTTACATATTGTGCCTTTAATGGAAATGAGAATTGGGGAAGGAAAGTTCTTGTCATTAACAATCTCACATGAAAATTGGAATATATTGTTATTTTAACAATTTTTTTTTCTTTTGGTTTTGTGGTCCATTATGACCTGGACATGTTCATTTTTATTGCAACATCAACATGTTCACGTACATCGCAACACAAATCTTCTCCGACCACATAACTGCATACAGCTCAATCTGTTGGGACGTTCTTAATAGGGCTGTCACCTCAAATTTTAGGTGTGCGTCACGCAGCCTTATCAGTGGCACACGAGATGCGATGACGATGTAAGTGTCGTTACATTTTAATGCTTTTCATAGCTTATCCAGTTGAACCCACTGGATGCGGCGCTGCTACATTGTTCGTTCAAAATATTGCGGAAAAAGAGAACATCAATGCGGAGAAGTTTGTTGTTTACGGCAAAACTGAAACCAAGCCGTTCACACACAACACATATTTCACGTATTTTCTAGAGGGACATCTATCACCGTTGCACTCGCATCTCGCACAAGAGAGCCACATGTTTAGAAAGCCATGTAAAATTAATTTGTTCAACTGTTAAAAAACATGTCTCGAGACTTTATGGCAGTTTTTCCCCATCCCACTGCATCTCACGTTTTTAAATGAAAAAGTACTCTTTGTGATTGGTTTTCGGTCCTTTGTATTAAACTATACATACATACATGATGTGGTTTTGTTTCTGATTGTTTAAGCAAATTAACATTTAAAGCGACATTCAAGGAAACGGCTTGCTGTAAACAGAGCTGTTTTTGACAGGGTAAAAAGGGTGTTTTTTACACTACCATTGAGAAATTTTAACCAAACCATGTTACAGACTTCTGATGACCCCTTTTAAATATTATGCATTTTTTTCACAGATAGTCGTGTTATTTTATTGCTTTGTATAAACGTGCATTAGTAATATCTTGCTTGCTTGTGGCCTCAGGAGAGAAGCCAAAAACTTTTTTTCCCCCTAACTGAAATTATGCCTTTTAAATTCGAATATAGATAATATTTTAGTGCAAAATTCCAATGTAGTTTTTTAGCCATTTTGACAGCCCTAGTTCTTACGGTCTGGCACACAGAGCTAACAGCTTCTGACCTTCTCTAGGCCGACCTGCCCAAAGAAGACGTCAGCGTGGTGGAGGTGGACGTGTTCGACGGCAAGTCCCTGTGCGAGGAAGACAAAGGCGTGCTGCCGCTGAAGAAGGACAAGTATCTGTCAGAGGAGCACAGCAGCGGCATCGGAGGCTCGTCCTGCATGTCCTCGCCCCGCCACAGCGTGTCGGACAGCGACGAGGGCGACTCGGGCCAGACCACGGCCAGCACCGTGCAGTACTCCTCAGTGCGGGCCAGCGGCTACAAGGGCCAGACTCCCAGCCACCAGCCTCCGGCGTTCGCTCGCTCCGAGTCCACACAGCCGCTGCTGGACTGCGAGGAGCATCCGGACCATCTCAACGAGAGCCACTCCAGGAGCTCGTACTTCAGACGCGGCCAAGAGCTGGAGCCCGGCGTCCTCGCTCCGGAGTGTGACGGAGGCTCCCTGACCTTCTGTCCGGTGCAGGAGGAGGAGGCGTCTCCCATCGCCGAGGATCCACCCGCCTCCGCCTTGTGTTACATGCCGCAGAAGAGCGGCTACCGACCTCAGTAAAAGACACTGGCGCTTTGGAGACGGCCCTAAGCTACTGCATCTGAATGTGCCTGTCACCAACTTTTCATTTGGCATTTTAATGATTGCAAGCTTATGCCAGATGTGTATGGTAACACTAGACTGCTCACACTGCCACGTGCCTTCAGAGGGAGAACGACTGCTTGTAACTCCAGCCACTTCCTTCTGACTGACTGTTGTTTTGAACCGCATGCATGTTTCGTTGAAGCATTGTGTAAAAACGTGGATTTCCATTCTCATTTACACTACCGGTCAAACGTTTCTGAACAGGAAGACCTCTTCTGCTCACCAAGCCTGCATTTATTTGATCCAAAGTACAGCAAAAGCAGTAATATTGTGAAATATTTTTACTATTTAAAATAACTGCTATCTGTTTGAATATATTTTAAAATTTAATTTATTTCTGTGATCAAAGAGAAATTATAGAAATGTAATACTTTTATTTAGCAAGGATGCTTTAAATTGATCAAAACTGATGCTAAAGACTTGTAATGTTACAAAAGATTTCCATTTCAGATAAATGCTGTTCTTCTGAACTTTCTATTCATCAAAGAAACCTGAAAAAAGTCTACTTAGCTGTTAACATACATAATAATAATTGTTTTTGAGCAGCAAATCAGCATATTATTATGATTTCTGAAGATCATGTGACACTGAAGACTGGAGTAATGATGCTGAAAATTCAGCTTTGATGACAGGAATAAATTACATTTGAACATATATTCACATAGAAAGCAGTTATTTTAAATAGCAAAAATATTTCAAAGAGTGTACTGTTTTTGCTGTACTTTGGATCAAATAAATGCAGGCTTGGTGAGCAGAAGAAACTTCTTAAAAAAACAAAAAAACATAAAAAATCTTACTGTGCAGAAACTTTTGACTGGTAGTGTACCTGTTGCTGATTTCTTGCCTCCAGCTCACAGCCGATTGGTCCGTGTTTGGTGAATGTGCCGTTTCGATTTCGCTCGCTTCCAGCATAGACACAATGTTGTTTAGAAATTACGAGCAATTTGTGCAAAGGTGCATTATGGTATTGACACATATTAGTATTATTGGTTATGGTATTTCGAATATGAATATTTTTAACAATATGCAACAGAATGTAGACCCTAGCTTGAGTTAACCTTGCTTTCGTGTTCCTGGTGATAATTTTCTTAGGATAAAACTAACACTACATTGAAATGACAGTTATGAAATGCAGATATTTCATTGAATGCCTTATGTCATGTATTTCTGTATCTCTGTGTGATTTTTGTTTATATCATTGCATCACTTAGGTGTGTATCACTGATACTAGATCAAATAAAGACTTTATTCAAATGTTTTGCAGTCTATAAGCTTTACTACTGTTTCAGACTTTGTTTATACCTTCAGTCTATGGGTTTTGCTTCTTGGTAACAGCGGCTTCTCTGACTGGTGAGGCCCACTTCATGACTGAGTTTTTGTAATTTGTGTCTTTGAGAAACACTGATCTAAGTGATGAGAAATTAAACAACTGTAAAACTAATATGCATGATTATGAGGCACATATGTGTATAATAGACTTCTTACATGTTACTGTATGAATTAAATCTATACTAATTCTCATTAAAGCTACAAAAGTTACTCAGTCAAGTGCAGTTCTTTTTTCAAAAGTTTAGGGACAAATATAGCAACTTCTTGGACAAACCTTATCGAAGTTCTCATCTTGCCCACTGATCTATATTCATCTTTATATAGATCACTGAATTTGCCATTGTGATGTCATCTAGTGACATTTAGCTACAGTTTTAGCTACTTTCAATTGAGAGCAGTTGGCAACACTGAACATGATGCATGATGGGATACGCTTAGCCTCGAATACTGCTCCGAAGTGTGAATTTAGTGTGCGTTAAGGCTGTGCTTTGGCATTTTTAAGTCTTGACAACGGTCTTAAGTGGCCAGGACCACAAGTGTGAGTATTTGGACAGGCCTTTACGGTCTTCACATCTACTTGAACACTTGGGCCAAATACAGGAAATGTGTCATGTAGGCAGACGAGTGGTTAAGCGCACAGACCGCAAGCATGGGTGTTGAGATAGGCCCAAAATATCACTCACGCTAACAGGCCCATGTTACAAACTGAAAGTCCATATATAAAACGAGCACATGAACCCCTGAAGACCACTGGAGAGACGGCCTTCACTGAAACTGAGCGTGACTGGATGAGCAGATGCAACTGACCAAGTAAGAAATTTAATAACTTCTTCCACTCTACAAATCAATGCACTAGCTGCAGAAATGAAAGTAGTAATTACATTTTTTGGCTGGAAAAATGCAGCAATGCACCGGTGATGACACAGTAAGCAGGGTCTTAACTATTGTGGCACTAACCCCACCAAACACAACAGTGGCCAAAAGTGGTGTGGAGGTTTTAAAAAAAATTTTTTATGACCCTACATTTCAATTGAGCGGAAAAAACCACTGAAAGGTTAGAGTTAACATTGTCACACGTTTATTTTGGTAGTGTATAGTGATATAATATTACTTCATGGAGTCATTATTTCTTAAAGGGGTCATATGATGTTGCTAAAAAGAACATTATTTTGTGTATTTGGTGTAATGAAATGTGTTTATGCAGTTTAAGGTTAAAAAACACATTATTTTCCACATACTGTACATTATTGTTTCTCCTCTATGCCCCGCCTTTCTGAAACGCAAGTAGGTATAACTGCAGACCGGAGATCTCCAAAATGGGGCGTGAACTCCAAAAGTGGGCAGAACCTCCAAAATGGGGCGGGGTCTCCTCGCGCAAAGACTTTGACCATTGGCTCTGGCTCCAGCCAATTGTTATTGACTTACATTTCAAAATAAAACTTTATAAATGTAACATTGTTTCTAGTTCATCTAAAATAAAATATGCTATATAACTAAATATTCTCCGTGAGAGCAGAGCCCAAAGCTCGTGGCCAGTGCTGTTCGGACTGGAGTTTGAGCCTCTGCTTGATATAACCGGGAATCACCCGCGAGCTCTCCCGCGAGCCGTCAGCGCAGCGCAGGGGAAAGATTTCACTCATTTCACACATATCGCTTTGTTCTAAGCAACTGGGTTGGGGGAAAAATTGCGCATGCGTGTCATGTGCCTGTCTGCCAATGGGAGGAAGCCACGCCCTATTTTGGAGCTCCCACCCCATTTGGAGATCTCCAGGCTGCAGTTATACCCTTCTTCTGAAACGCGTAGATTTTTACAAAGCTCATAGTTCTGAAAAGCGAGGTGTGCTGTGATTGGCCAGCTATCCAGTGCGTTGTGAT